CTTCTTCCATCTGTTTGTCACCATTTAGGGTGATCCTCAAAGGTCGATCTTTCCCTTTTACGTATTTACCTATTCTCCTGTAGTCGCACACATTCTCTATGGTAGTACGACCTTCCACGAGGCCAACAATTTTATCTACTACTTTCGCTTCTTCTACAGCTCTTTCTGACCTAGATGTTATCTTCTCTTCTTTGCAACCAAAAATTATCAGGGACTTCAACTGTGCTTTGCACCAACTTCGGTTTAGATGCCAATTCCTTTCTCACTTCCAGCCTAATGTTTGTTTTATCTTGGTTGCTGCAGTGTTTGACTTCCTTTACTGCTTCTTCAATTTTTTCCTTCTCCTTGGCCACTTGTGCATAGGTGCATATCTTTCTTGCACTGTTCTATTCCCTGTGTAACTTCCTCCATCTGTGCTGACAAAAGCGGTTTCTCCTGTTGAATTTCTTTACCTAACCTCTTGTAGTCATTTATGTTTAAATTTACTTTAACTTCTTCCAAAGCTATTTTTAAGAGTTTATTTTCTTCTTCCATGGCTTTGCAATTTGTTTCCAATTGATTTTTATCCTTGCACAAGTCTTTCACTATGTCCTCAAGACATAAAACTTTGCTATTCAAATGGTCATTACTTTCTTTCAATTTAATAATTATTTCTACATGAGAGTTCACTATAGTATCTAATTTTACCAACTTGTTATGTAGACTGCTAATATCAATGCTTTCTTCATTGAATCCAACAAAATCAAGCTCTGTTTTGTTTTTCCTCTTGCCGGTGGCCATCTTGAATGTTCTTCTCTGCACTGGAAACACTAGGGCAACTTTTTCTCATCTGATTTTTCACTTCCCTTAGCACATTCCTGTTCTCACCTATTTTTCAAAAGCATTATACCTTTATGTTCTCTGGGACACCACTCACTATCATCAACCTGTACTACAATACTTAGGATTGTTGAAATATGCTGGAGCTCCTCTGATTTAATTGTTGACGCTAGGTGTGTCACCTTTTGAATTCAATTTGTGTCAAATTTGAATTTGTGGTAGGTCAGTGGTGCCAGTTTAGGAACCATTATTGCCTTTGGAGCTGGTAGTGACTGATCGGCGCGGTGTTTTCTCTGCACAGTGGTCTGTGCGGTGTTTGCTCTGCGCATTGGTTGGCTTACCATAAGGGACTTCAGACCTTTTGAGATTCGCGCCGTTAACGGGGCGATGGGGGGGGAGGGGAGACACTCACGGTGCTCGTTCAAGCCTGGTTCCACGATTTATGGGCATTAAAGATCGTTTCCTTCGGCCTGCGGTGGCATAGTGACTCCTCCTTCAGGGGGTTCAAAATTTGCAGGGCAGGCCTTTTCTCCTATGCTTTGTCAGGTCATCTTGGAGTGGGTATGCTTGGGCTTGGTCAAAATGACCTCATCCCTTATGTGGGTTTCCTGCCTGTTTCTAGTCCCGAAACAGGACTGTGCAGATCTGAGGTTCATTCTGGACTTGTCCCATCTGAACCCCCTGGGTTTTTTGCTACTCTTTTTGGATGACCACTCTGTCTCAGGTCCGGCTTCTTTTGGATGCTTGGATGTCTCTGGACCACCGGGATGCTTATTGATATGTCCAGATTCATCCGAGGTTCAGGGACTGGCTCGGTTTTGTCGTGGGATGACAAGCTTACTGCTTTCATTGCCTTCCATTCAGGTTGCATCTGGCACCTCGCATTTCCACATGCCTTACTCGGGTCGTAGTGGCCCGTTTGTGTATGTTAAGGGTTCGGATTCTGGCCTACCTCAACGACTGGCTGGTGTGAGCTCCCAGCTGGACTGCGTGTCTGCTTGCCAGGGGTTTGGTTCCTTCCCAGCTTGCCGGGTTGGGGTTCTTGGTGAACTGGAGGAAGTCCCTTCTAGTTCCTTCTCAGGTTTGGACTTAGCTGGGTCTTGTGTCGGACTCTCGGACTGCTTCCTTGTCTCTCCCCTAGGCGTCGTTGCCGCAGTTGCGGTCCCGCCTTCAGCTGTTTCTGGAGGGCTCCCAGGTCACACGTTGGTTGTTCGAGCAGCTGTGCCAGAGTCTGAACTTTGCTGTGCTAGATTACCTGCCTAGTCGGGTCTGACTTCTGCAGCTGTTCTGGCTCATTCAGGGATGTCACTTTCGCCCCTTTTGCAATCATTTGGTTCGGCCTCTGGGGGCCCCTTGCGTTGCTGCTGCGTTGCCGGCTTCCTCTTTGGATTTTCGGGCCAGTGCTCACCAGGCCGGCCAGGGGTGGTGGGGTCTGTCCTTCTGTCAGGCTCACAGCATGGTGCGGGAGTTCACGGCAGTGAGGCTGTCTCTTTGGAGGGTTCGTTTCACTCGCGGATTGACGATCCGACTCCATTCGAACTACACTCTGGTAGTACATTACCTGAATCCAGGGAGTTTGATGTGGTCCTTGGCTCTTTGGGGTTGATCTCTTTGGGTGACTTGTCGTGGTTACCTGATGAGCCCGTCGAGGTAGATGCTTTTCGGCAGGACTGGCCGAGGTGGGGTTACCTGTAACTCTTACCGCTGGTTCAGCTGTTGCTTCAGTTTTGGGCTCATTTGGAGACTTACCAGGGAAGAATTGTCCTGTTGGTCCCTTGGTGGCCAGCCCAGCCTTGGTTTCTGGTGCTGTTTGCTCGGTGTCCTAACCCTGGGACTTTTCTGCGTCACCGGCTCTTTCAGCAGATCGGTCCAGTCTGATATGTGGCTGGTTCGATCTTCGCATTTGGAGTTTCTGACATGGGTTTATCATCACTTGTATGGTAATCAGGTGGCTTCGTTGATGGTGTCCCATCTGTGGGCTTTATCTCGGCGACAGTATGAAGTTTCCTGGCGGCCTTCTCATCTCTTTTTTTTTTTTCTTTTCGTAGGTTGTCTTTGGTTTCAGATCGAGTTTTTTTGTTCTTTCTCTCTTGGCAGTTTCAGGACAGTCATTTAATGCCAAATACTGTTGCCTCATATCGTGCGGTGCTGCAACCCGTTCTCGCAAATTCGTAAAGTCAATATTGACTTATTAACTACGTGCATAGGTGATATACTAAACATAATAGATACCCTTAAAAAGATTCATAGAAAACACCGACCTTACCTAACCTTGTTAGTATCTTAAGATAAGCATCTTATTGCTTCGTAATTACAATTATTATTTAACCTATACCTATTATAGGTTAGGTAATAATTGTAATTACGAAGCAATAAGATGCTTATGTTAAGATACTAACAAGGTTAGGTAAGGTCGGTGTTTTCTATGAATCTTTTAAAGGGTATCTATTATGTTAAGTATGTCACCTATGCACATATTTAATAAGTCAATATTGACTTATTAAATTTGCGAGAACGGGTTGGGTGCTGACGGAGACGCTCCGGCTTGTGTTCAGGGTGGTTGTAAATTCCACTCCGTTTCGCAAGCTGTCTCATGTGTTGCTTCACCTCCAGCCTGCTTATGCAGCGCCTGAGCCGACCTGGTCGATGGACTGGGTGCTCTCTTCCCTCTCTTTTCCTCAGTTTTTGGTGGCCCTTTCAGTTCAGGATTGTTTTGATAAGGCTCTTTTTCTTGTTGGCATTGGCCTCTGGGTGTCTAATCTGGGAGCCTGATGCTCTCTTCCGGCGAAGGGGTTTCTGCTCTTTCGGTCCTGGTGGTAGGTTTGTTCGTTTGCAGCTGTCTTCTTCTTTTCTGGTGAAGAATGAGAAGGCAGCTTTCTGGAGGGGTCCTTGGGTGGTTGATGCTTGGTTCGGCCGGGGGTGCATCTTGTGTTGTGTCCGGTTGCGGCTCTTAACCGGCATTGGCTTGGGTCTCCTAGGTCATCCACAGAGTTATTTGGTCCAGCCAGCCTGCGGTCTATCCTCATGACCATGACATTGGCAAATTTGCTGCTTTAGCTGCCATTTTTGGTAATATGTCTTGGGCTAACATTCGGGTGCCAGGATTTTGGAGGCCAAACAGGGTCCTGGCTGCCCATTACCACGTCAGTGTTCCTGGTCCTCATTGGGCATGTGACGCTTTGGGTCGCAGGTTGCAGCCAGTTGTCTCGACTTCGAGTTGAGGCGTGAGTGGCGGCCAACTTCCGGGTAAGTCCCTCTTTTCCTTTTTCTGTGGCTAGGTAGCTCCGGGGTGCTGGAGGGGCTCTCCACAGAAATCCAGCGTTGAATGTATGAAACGCCATTTTCTGGGTAAGTTTCAGTGTCTTCCCGGCAACCCTCCCTTCCTCCGGTCAGCGGTATTTGCGTTTTTGACATTCAGCTTCTGAACTTGGGTAGGATAAATGGCGTGGGGGGTCTGGTACTCCCCTTCTCGGGGAGGAGGGAGCTGCACAGACAGCGTCACTGCGGCAGTTGTGATGTGATGCTTGTTTGCTTGTTTTTGGATTGGGGCCTTCTGCTTGATAGTTTGGCTTTCGGTAGCAATTTTGAATGAGGTGGAGTTTGTTTTGGGATGTCTCCCTTTCTGGGTAACTAGCCCGGTCGATGGCGGACATGGAATGCTTCCAACCACATGGAGGTTTCTATGGGCCATTGCTTCTCGTGCCTCTCTGAGAGGGCCAGATTCTGGCTCATGGTCCCCAGTAGGCAAGAACTCCAATTGAATTGACTGATGCCATTGTTTAATACATGTATATCAGCCCGGTAATTCTGGGAGCCTCGGGACTCGCCCAGAAAATGGTGTTTTATTACATTCAATGCTTTTTTTTTATTTATTTAGATGAGTGGGTGATTTACCTTGATGTAAAGTTGATCTCTGATCCTATATGCTCCCAACACCATGGAGGGAATATGTGAGAATGCAAGTGCCCTTTTCCTTAGTGGATTGATTTAAATACGGGAGCATAGCTTATACAATTTATGTAAGTGCTTGTGTGATATGGTTAGGGCAGCAACTTGAGTGCCTCTAAGACAGTGGAGTTTCGTTACACAGAATGTTCTATTTTTAGTATTGTGTAGTATTTTTAAATTTATTAGAGGTATGTATGAAAATTGTTTTCTGAGTTCTTATACATTTTCCCCAGAATTGTGTGTATAACTTCCTCGAGACTGATCCCGTGTTCCAGCATGTGGATGGAGACATGACGTTGGAGGAAGAGCGACTTATAACATTCCGTCGTGTCAAGAAAATGCTGAGTACAAAATTCACAGATGATGCACAGTTTCTTACTGATTTTAGAAGGGTAAGCCTTAAAAATTTTAATACAGTACAACCTCGATTCAATGCATTATATGGGACCTACCCTGGTTTATTGCAGGGTTGGATTCGTTGCAAGAGGTGACCTTCAGGAAGCGTTTGTGTCAGTGTCCTTTTTTTCTTGTAAACAATAAAAATACATTATCATATTATATACTATACCTATATATTACTGCTCTACTAAAAAATACTGTTGCAGTTTTTATTTACCTTATTGTTGGAGTTATGTCAATCTTGAATTCTCATGGAGTTGTGATGTCAGGTACGGGATTGAAAACCGTACCCTAAAGTATTGCTAACAACACCCGCTCCTACTTTCTTATAAATAATGGAAGTGCAGGGGACTATATAGTAATAGTCACCAGTTCTAACTACATGGGACAAGAAATACACCTTGGGGTACAAGTTTACAAAAGGATTTTATTTAACAAATACCAGATTTCCTCACACTTCTTAGAACAGAGTGGGGGGGGGGGTGTACTTGGATCCACCACAGGATTGATACAGACAAAAGGGTGGGGAAGGGTCCTTCTCCCTCAACAACTTGGGACTTAAGGTCATTACTCTATTCCACTCCTCTTAGGTCACTACAAAGGGCCTGGGTTTACAAAAGGATATACAAAATATATGTGGATAATCTTACCATGTGACACACAGCTGAGCACATACACCTGAATTAACAACACCACTCTCCCTACACACAGGGTTCCAAAAATCCTTATTTCCACAAATTCCTATCTCTAACTCATAAAGAAAAGGGGAAGCACCGCTATAAACATCTATAATACTGCACTTATCGTGTATGTTGGAGACCATCCACAACACTGGTGTGGTTGTCACTGCCTCTCTCTCCCAAGTGACTGATAGGGGCTTGCACATGTCCCTGCCTGCCTGGTTCCAATAATGTCCACTCCCTATACATGTCATACACATTTCCCAATACTTCATTTATATGTCTTATAATGTTCCAGACTGCTTTTATACATTTAACACTGTTGTTTCTCTATATTTTCTTGCACTGAATCTGTTTTTTCTTAACCATTTTATTCCTTTTGTTTACATTGTTTTTTTAGGAGATTATTTTTTCCTGTTGAGATCTGAAAAACGCTGATCTCTGTGCATCTGAAAGGGGTCAGAGTTCCAGACTGTTTTTCAACATTTAACACTGCTATTTCTCCCTACACAAGGGTCTCTCTCTTACAATGAATAATATACAGTAAATATCTACTGTACTGTATTATGCCATTAGCACTGTATTGATTAAGTAGTTCAGCTGTATGTGGAGTACTACAATACAGTATATGAAAACTATTGTACACTAAAATTACTGCAACCTTAATTTTAACACTTTAACAGTATGTACTTAAATTTAAGACTTGTTCCTAACTGTACGCTCCACACACGATGTTCTTAAATGTTGGCATCAGCCTTGCTGGTGCTCGGTGTTGCTGTGTTTGCTTCAGCTTCTTCTGAGCTGGTGCTAGCTACTGCTGTGCTCATGCTGGGTGCGGCTGTGTTCATGCTGGATACAGCTGTGCTCGTGCTGGGTACGGCCATGTTCGTGATGGGTACGGCTGTGCTCGTGCTGGGTACGGCTGTGCACGTCCTGGGTATGACTGTGCTCATGCTGGGTACAGCTGTGCTCGTGTTGGGTACGGCTGTACTCCTGCTGGGTACGGCTGTGCTCATGCTGGGTACGGCTGTGCTCGTGCTGGTTGATTTTCTGCTACTAGTTCTTGCAAGATATTGACTCATTTTCGGCACTAATAAATCACTATTAGCAAGCCCCTGAGGTATCTTGTATATCAATACGTCTGTCGTAAAAAAATGGTAAATTCCACGATGATTCTTCCACCAGCGGACACACACATCACTTGCAGACAAAGCTAAATGCACTGGGTGCCTGCTGTATGAATGCAGACTAGGTCTATACACCCTACAGTAGGCTGGTGTTTAACCCTTAACCACTTAACTGCGCCAACCAAGTATTCTCGGTCAGCAGGAAACTGCGCCAACCAAGAAAACTCTTTTTGATTTTCCTGTACCCATTCTAAATGTGTGCGATGTTGGTTGTGTATGGAATGGACTCTTAGGACCTCCAGTGAGAGGCAGCCATCTTGGAAAAAATTCCCAGAATGCCCTAGGGCTGCTGGCTGGGTTAGTACTGAATGAGCAACCATGGGTGGTGCACGCGCCTCTGGCTCCCAAACACCTGTCCGACGCGGTGTTGAAAGATAACGCTCTGTCGGTGAAATTCAAACCCTATTGTTTGAAGAACATAAGGGTCATAATATTGGTGAAGCTAGGTACAATAAGGACCTAACACAAAGATCGGATGCAAGTGATACAGCACCTACGAGGACGATACAGCGAGCGTATCCAGTTGTAGCTCTGAGTGTCACCCCTTGCAATCCTATGCTATCTTCAATATATTTAGATGATACATAGATGAATCGTTTTCTGCATTCTGTGATGATGCATCTAATAAAAGTAACATAGATGAACAGTGTTAGCGGCTTTCATGGTGGTGTTTTCCATAGATATTTTCAAGAATACTGTACCTGAATCACTTCCTGACTGACGGACACTCTTTGAGGCTAGCTGAATCTCTTTCTGACTAACAGACACTCTTTGAGGCTGACTGAATCTCTTCCTGTGTGGGACCATACAAAGGGATCGTTTCAAGACTACCTTACAAATTGTTCTTTTCCTATAATCTTTTCAATACTACCTTATGCTTTACAAGCTTGGTTACATACAACCTACACGTACTAAAGCCAAGGGTGTACGTGAGTATTTGCAAGCACACAGAATGAAGAAACAGGAATCAAAAATCTATCTGTACCTGGTGCAACGAGAGCGAAGTCACGCTGTGTACCATGGACTACTTCGTTGATTATTACTTGCTTCCGAAGTACTGAGTTTGTAATACAGTGTGTTACTGTGTAAATAGTGTGTGAAACACCCCTCCCCATCCGGCCCGTTGGCGCCGTGAGGGGGCTTGGTGGACGGCTGCCGGAGTGTGATGCTCCGTGGGACAGTCCTCTGTCCTTTTGTGGCCTTGCGCTCCTGCTGCTGTCTTCTCTAATTGTGCCGGATCGCTTTTCCTTTTCCTTATGTTTCGTTTTTCTCCCCCCTCTTCTCCTATCTGCTTGTCGCTTCCTGCCGACCTTTTGCTTGTTTTGGTTATTCCTTTGGACTTCTTCTATTTTGACGCCCGGGTGCTTGAGGAGGCATACTCTTGCACCCGTAGAACTGTAGTACCCAACGTCTCGAGCGAGGGGAACCTTTTATTGTCAATCCCCCTTTCGTCGCTGAACCCGATCTCGACGGACTGACGGTTCTTAAGGTGGCGTTTGTGGGGCGTATACTCACGACGCACCCCTAGGGGGCCCCGGCATGATCGGCGATAGCTTCCTGTTGGGTGTCCTGCCTCTAATTGTGGCTCCATGGTGGGTATGGGGGCACATTCGTGGATGAATTTCTCTCTTCGTCTGTATGTCGATGAATGTTTCTGTTGTACCCTCTCAGGCTCGTGGGGTGGGCGACCAAGCCCCCGAGTCGGCCTGTATTGGAAGACCGGGCTCTGTAGCCCCCGCTGCGTTGGGCCCCGACCTTGCTCCTCCTTTGACCCTCCTGACTTCTTCCCCCAGCTCCCCTCCCTCCTCTGTGGTTGGGTCGAGCCTCAAGCCCCCAGTGGTGACCACTTCGTCCCCTGGTGCGGCTAAGTCTCTCGTTGTGACTACTGCGCCTTTTAACCCCTCTCTCTCTGGGGGTTCTCAACGCCGTCCGCGCCACGGCCGCACTCGCTCGATTCCTTCCCGTACTGATGCGTATCAGGCCTTGTTTGGTCCCGCTTCATGGGCCAAATACTTTGATCTCCTCCCTCTTGATTCTGCGCCTCCTGATGATTTCTCCCTCCATCGGCATCTTGTTGATTCCGTGGATGCCTCTGTTACCTTCAACCCCACTCGTCTCGGTACACGTGTCGTTGCTGCTCCTTCTCAGGATGCAGCTTCCCGCTTGGCTGCCTTATCCTGCCTTGGCGAGATCCCTGTTCGGGTCTCAAAGAACGCTCGGTTGAATGCCAGTGTTGGCACTATTCTCCTCCCGCCCCATGTTGCGACCGGTGTTCGGAATCTGCAGGACTGCCACGATGATATTCGGCATATCCTTGATGCCCAAGGCCATTCTGTCCTCCAGGTAGACTCGTTTACTCGTCCCCCTCGTGGTCGTCGCCGTCAACCCCTTCGGGTTGTGAAGATTACCTTTGATGGTAGGACCCTTCCATCCTCTGTCATTCTTGCTGGTGCCAGGTGCTCTGTCCAGGAGTACATTCCTTCTCCTAGGCTTTGTAACAAGTGCTGGAGGTTTGGGCATGGTGCCCTCCGCTGCTCTGGGACTGTCTCTCTCTGTCCTTTGTGTGGGGGCGAAGGTCACTCTAAGTCGGAGTGCACTTCTCCCCAGGCTCGCTGCCTCAACTGCGGTGAGGCCCATCCTACCTTCTCCCGTGCCTGTATCCATTACAAGCTTGAGGCAGCCGTCCTCAACTTGAAGCACCGGGAGCGTTTATCTTTTCCTGAGGCGAGGCGCCAGGTTCGCCGGCTCCCGCCTTATGCTAACGTCTCTTATGCTCGCGTGTTGCGCTCTTCCTCTCCTCGTCCTTCCCACCTTCCTCAGACCCACAACCGTTTCCGGGCCTTGGACCCTGATACGCCCACTGCCCCCTCCTCTGTTCCTTTGAGTTCTGTCCCGAAGGGTCCCCCTCCTGGTCCTCTGTCTGGGGTTCCCCTTCTTTCTGCCCGGTCTGTCATGTCTCCTGTGTCTTCTTCCTCGTCTCCCTCCGATCCTCCTTCCCATCCTTCTCCTCCATCTATTGACTCTCCCCGCCGCCTGTCAGTGCGGGCTGATGTCCATCGCTCTCCTACCGGCCGTCGTGTGTGCTCTCGTTCAGCTTCTCCTGTTGAGACACTGGAATCCGTTGCC